CTGGTTTTCAAGCGGGACACCTCTGAGAACTGTCTGTCCGGGGTGGGGGTCGGGACCCTTTAAGCGCAGCCCTCGGCTAGCCTGAGACAGCATCTCCACGCTCTAAGTCCTCCTCTGATGCCCTGCAGGCACTCCTTCCGGCCATCCTTAACCCCGGTTCAGGGTCCACTTAATGTGGACATGCTAGTTCGAATTATCAAAACGCTAATTCGAACTAGTTTTTAGTTCTAGATGCGTTAGTTCGAATTAGCTTAGTTCGAATTAACTAATTCGAACTAAGTTAGTTCGAATTAGCGCTGTAGTGTAGACGTACCCCCAGAGACTCTCAACACTTCTGTCTCCTATGTCCATCTCCACCTCTCTCCAAGTGTGTTCATTTTTAATATATAGAAGGCAACACTTCCTCCCTTTTTTCTTTGTCTATCATTCCTGAGCAAGCTGTACCCTTCCATACAAACATTCCAATCGTGTGTATTATCCCACCAGGTTTCTGTGATGCCAACAATGTCATAATTGTACTCATTTATTAGCACTTCCAGTTCTCCCTGCTTATTCCCCATACTTCTCGCATTTGTATATAGGCATCTAAGATCCTGATTTGACTTTGCCTCCCAGTTTTGCCCTAGCCCTCCTGTTTCTCTGCCATTATAGCCCACGCACCCTCATGGTGGGGGACAAGGAGGTGGCTGGCATGCGGGGTGGGAGCAGCATGCCCTTTGGGGTATGCCGGTAGGTCTGAGCTTTCTGCAGCATCTGCTCTTGTGTTCCCTCCCAGTGACCGGAGAGGAGGAAGTGGATGGCTACGAGACAGACCACCAGGACTACTGCGAAGTGTGTCAGCAGGGTGGTGAGATCATCCTCTGTGACACCTGCCCCAGGGCCTACCACCTGGTTTGCCTGGATCCCGAACTCGACAAGGCGCCTGAGGGCAAATGGAGCTGCCCTCACTGCGTAAGCCACCCTCTGTCCCTTCCTGGCTGTGAGCTAACTTTCTCCCTTGCTTCCCAATTCCCTGCCTGCTAGGTTCCATCCCTGTCCCTCTACAGACATCCCAGAAGAGACTGGTGGTTTGGGTGCTAATGACAGGAGTCCGTCCCAAGAAGTCAGTGTCCTTAGAGACTTGGCCTATGTGATTGGGGCGACTCAGGTGGCTATCTGCTGCTGAAAAGTGGGCCATTCCGACTCAGTTTCCCTGGGCAGGATGCTCAGCTTTGGAGGGAAGAGAATCAGTTTTCTTCTGAGAGAAGCTGTTGATCTCTGCCCGGGGATACGTCCCACTGGGCACTTGGGCCACGTCTGGCATTGGGTCTATGCCTGGGGGTACGTCCCTTTGGGCACTTGGGCCGCGCCTGGTGTTGGGTCTGAGAGCAGGCATGCCCCACGCTATCTTGGCCTTGCTTGGGCTCCCGTCCCCATGTAATACAGGAGGTTTTGGGGGCACTGCTGAGAGGGTCAAATCAGGGTGAATTTCTTAGAGACAGGGCTATTGACAGTCAACTCCTGGGGGTCCACCCCTCTAAGGCACGAAACCAGTCACAAAGAGCACTTCCATTTGCAACAGTGGATTACAAAAAGTCACACAAGAAATTCCCTTAGATGCTCCAGCTTCCCTGTGCCACCACTAGCACCGCTCCTTACACAGGTGAGAGGTTATGAAAACCAGTCTCACCAAATCCAAACAGGCTCTTCTGATCCCAGAGGATCAACACATTCCCAGGTCGACATATATCTTAGACCTTACTCAAAAGAGAACCCTGCACCAATCCTTTAGAATCTAACATCTGAAAATGTATTGATAGAAATTGATAAAACAATCAGATTACATACACCTTTAGCAAAGTTCTTGGTGCACGCTTGTAGCAGAAATGGAACAAATAAAACAAGTCTCTGGAATACGTCCCCTCCTAGGATGGGTCATCCCTCCCTTCAGGCTTCAGCTCACAGCAGAGGTCCTTCCGAGGAGATTAGCTGGAATGAAGACAAAATGGAGGAGCCCTCAGGGCCCTCTTTGTGTCCTTGCCCATGTGGTGGGAATCCCATTGTTCTTGCTGTGTAAAATTATGTCCCAAGTTGGAATTTGTCAAATGAGCAAGTCAGCTGCCCTTGCGTGACTCGGTGCCTTTTGGGCAGCCGGTATTGCCTACATGCTGGTCTGAGCACTCACAGCAAAGCCCAGCAGCTGTGGATCAGCACCGCCTGCAATACATTGTCAGTGAAGTGCTGCTCCCCTCTTGACTACCCCCCTTTCACGACATGTGGGCCAAGCCTGTGGTGTCTCGCAGAAGCAAACATTTGAAATACAAGTCCAGAGCCAGTTCTCATAACTTCAAATACAAAACTGATGCTCATGTATGATCAGAGAATTGTCAGCTTATCAGAGACCGCTCACTTGACCCACTCTGTACAAGATTTGGTGCAAACATAGAACAGTGGTGGCATCAGTGATTGGTGTGTTCATGCTGCAATCCAATAACCTCCCACCCCTCCTCACCTGCTGCCTGCTACTCCTGCAGGAGAAGGAAGGGGTTCAGTGGGAGGCCAAGGAGGAGGACGAGGAGTATGAGGAAGAGCTGGAGGAGGAGGGTGAGAAGGAGGAGGAGGATGACCACATGGAGTACTGCCGGGTCTGCAAGGATGGCGGGGAACTGTTGTGCTGTGATGCCTGCATCTCATCCTACCACATCCACTGCCTTAACCCGCCGCTGCCTGAGATCCCCAATGGGGAATGGCTCTGCCCTCGATGCACGGTAGGGCGCCCTGCTCAGCTCCCTGGGTGGGCAAGTGCAAAGCCCCCTCTGGAGAGATCTGTTGCCTTAGGCTGGGTGAGCCTCCAGCTGGCTCCTCCAGGCCGAGTGAGGAGGGAAAAGTGCAGAGTGGCTCTGTGTGGTCTCTTCATTGTAAAGTGACTCTGGGGCCTTTTTGTCCCCCTGGATCCCAGAGAGACTGGGAGTTTGTGGTTTTGGGGAGAACTGCAGAAACTGAGCCGAGATGCGTCCGCCTCTAGGGCATGGTGGCCTGTTACACAGGGACCCCATGCCCAGCACTGAGATGCAGCCACCTCTGGGGCGGAGTGGCTGGTTACACAGGGACCCCTCGCCCAGTGCTGAGGTGTGGCCACCTCTGGGGTGGGACAGCCAACTATCCTCCCACCTGACTCTGCCTTTGTCCCCTCTACAGTGCCCCGTGCTAAAGGGCCGTGTGCAGAAGATCCTGCACTGGCGCTGGGGAGAGCCACCCCCACCTGTGCTGGTGCCCCGGCCGCCTGATACTGGCCCAGATGAGCCCTCGCCCAAGGCGCTGCAGGGGCGCTCGGAGCGGGAATTCTTTGTCAAGTGGGTCGGCCAGTCCTACTGGCACTGCTCCTGGGCCAAGGAACTGCAGGTAGCTCTCTGGGGCCGGGAGGTGGGGCGGGAGGAGGGACTGAGGCCAGCAAGTGCAGGACGGTGAGGAGGGAGATCTCTGTGCCCTTGGGGGCAGTTCCCTGTGCCCTTGGGGGCAGTTCCTAGCCATGGCTTTCTCCACCGTTGCTGTGGCCATCAGAGCCACTACAAGGTTGTGCTGTGGGTATGTGGGGGAGCTGTGTGCTTGGAGGTGTTGGGGTGCCGAGTGGGTGCTGGGGGGGACATGGTACTCTGTGCTGGGGGTGTGTGCGGGCTCTGTATACTTGGGGCCCTGATCTCAGTCAGGGGGTCTGTGCAGAGCCTGACACACCGCTGGGAACTGAGCGCTCACCTCTTCTCTCTCGGCCCGCCCAGCTGGAGATCTTCCACCTGGTGATGTACCGCAACTACCAGCGGAAGAACGATATGGACGAGCCGCCCCCGCTGGACTATGGCTCTGGCGATGATGACGGCAAGAGTGAGAAGCGGAAGAGCAAGGACCCGCTCTACGCCCAGATGGAGGAGAGGTTCTACCGCTATGGCATCAAGCCCGAGTGGATGGCCATCCACCGCATCATCAACCACAGGTGGGGCAGGGCCGGACCCTGCTTCTTGCCTGTCTGCCTCCGTGCTGCTGTGGGGCCTTGGGTTGCCGCTGTTGTCCCCCATGCTGCCCCATGGTTCCTGGTGTGCCCCTGTCTGCCCACTGTGCTGCCCCTGGGATGCTGGCTGATCCCCGTGCTACCCCCCTCCCACCCAAACCACCCCTGTCTGCCCACTGTGCTGCCCCTGGGATGCTGGCTGATCCCCGTGCTACCCCCCTCCCACCCAATCTACCCCCTTCACTGTCTCGGGGCCCTGGGCAGGTCTCAGTCTGCCCCCACAGCCTCCGAGATGCTGGGTGCCCCCCATTTCCCCCTGTTCTGTCCTGTGGTCCCTGTGCTAGGCTGGCTCTGCAAAGAGCTGGAAACCCTAATTTCTGTCCCCAAAATCCTCAGCACCACCCTGGGCACTGGGATGGGTGGCGTGGGGGGAGGGGAAGTCTTCCTGCCCCTTACCGCTCCCTCCTCTCTGCCCCTGGCCACGCAGCATCGACAAAAAAGGGAACTACCACTACCTGGTGAAATGGCGCGACCTGCCTTACGACCAGTCCACGTGGGAGGAGGACGAGATGGCCATTCCTGACTTTGACTTCCACAAGCATGCCTACTGGAGACACAGGTCTGCCAGAGGTGGCCAGTCCACCCATCCTTCCCTCTTCACCCTTGCTCCCTTGCAGTATAGCCCGCCTGCCCTCCCTCTCTTCTAGCCCTGGGGGTGGGGGCAGGCAGCAGAGACAAGATGCAGACCCATCTGAAGATCTGAAGACCCTACCTGACCGTTGGGGACAAAGCGTAGCTCCATCGCTCATTTGGGCCTGTCAAACACGGCACACCTGGCATGCCCTGGGTGTAGACAGGACTCCCCCATCTGCCTCGTGCTCGTCTCAGGCCACTGTGGCATTTCCAGTGTAGACAACCCCCAAGTCCAAGAATACTCTGAGACCTGACAGGCAGCTCTGCTGTCACAGAGCTCCCCAATTCAGAGCCATCCCAGCCTGCGGCAGGATAACAGGCCGGCTGGCAAGCCTGGCTGTAAACTTCTGGAGCTGGGCCCCTTCTAGAGACAGGATGGCCAGGCACCTGGAGAACTTCTCTGTCCTCCCCTGCTGCCAGGGCATGTGCAGATTCCAACCACTCGCTAGATGTGGGGTTGGGAAGGAATTTCTCTCTCATGTCCGGTCAGCCAGGGCCTGGCAGGAGGATTTCAGCATAGGGCGTGGCTCACCTCCTGCCACCTCTGGCCTTGTGCTTTCCCTGCCATGGCGGGGGGCTTCGAAGGGCCCCGTGATCTCTCCCATTGCCTCCTGGTTTAGTCTCCCTATGCTCCCAGAACAGGAAAACCTCTGGGTCAGTCCCTAACCCTGCTCTCAACTCCCCAGGGAGCTGATCATGGGTGAGGACCCGGCCCAGCCCCGGAAGTACAAGAAAAAGAAGAAAGAGATGCCATCGGAGGGCCCCCCAAATTCCCCCACCAACGATGTGAGTGCCCTCTCCCCCACATTGTGCCCCAGGGGAATGGAGTTGAGAGGTAGCCAGGTTCTGGCAGGGCAGCTTCACAGGGAGCACAGCCAGAGGGTCCCAGGGCACAGCCCCTGCAGCCACCCTGCCTCCTGGCACTCCTGCAGAGGCAGGACAGGAGGGGGCTGTGTGGATGTGAGAGAGAGGGATCTGGGACTCTGTGTGGGGCAGATCTCTAGGTTTGTGTGCGGCACGGTGGGTCGCTGACTCCTTGTGTGTGCGTGTGGGTGAGGGAGAGATAGGGGTGGGGGGCTGGTGAGTTAGTGCGGGGGGGGCCAACATCTCACCTGACAGCCTGCGGGGTGTTCCCATTGCTGCTCCCAGCCTCCAGCCTGTAGGGGGTTGCTAGACATTCCCTTAGCATCCCCACAACTCCCCATTGGCTCTCTTTCTCGCCCTGCAGCCCACGGTGAAGTACGAGACCCAGCCGCGCTTCATCACCTCCACGGGCGGGACCCTGCACATGTACCAGCTGGAGGGGCTGAACTGGCTGCCCTTCTCCTGGGCCCAGGGCACTGACACCATCCTGGCTGACGAGATGGGCCTCGGCAAGACCATCCAGACCATTGTCTTCCTCTACTCTCTCTACAAGGAGGTAACATCGTATGGGGGAACCCGCTGGGCTCCCAGTCACCCCGCCGCAGAGGTG